AACATTGAACAATTCAATACAATACGATACATGGATCAGTGTGCTATCGATAGAGTCCTTTTTTAAAAAAGTTCATAGGTGGCCGGTTTTATTTATCGTTTTACTGATGATTTGTTAAACATACTGTTTCCTTTTCATGGACAGTTTTCAGTCTTTGGATCTTTAGCAAATGTTGGTGCAATGGTTGGCGCAATTGCAAGCGGTCAAATATCAGAATACATTGGAAGAAAAGGGGTATAGTTTTAAAACACTTGCAATTACACAATCTTGTTCTCTTCATGCCAATAAAGAAAGTTTGATAAGGGCAATGTGCGAGTATATCGCGAACTAAGTTTCCCCTGCATTTCTGCAAATAGATTGTATACACACAAGGAATCCGTTAGCCAAATGAGAGCAACTATACCCTTGCACTAAAACTCACAAGTTTGATACTATGATAATAGTTTCTTTTTCTTTTGCCGGTTCTTTAGTAACTTACCCAGTTACCTAGTCTTCTTTCTGAAATGCAGACACTAATGATTGCATCAATTCCTAATATTAGCGGATGGCTCGCCGTTTCATTTGCCACTGTAAGTGATTAGTTGTTATATCGTGCATCTTCTGGTTGCATTTGCATCTTTTATAGGTAATTAACTTGAAAGTATGTGCCTTTTGTTCACTCTTAACAGGATGTCTCATTTTTATACATGGGAAGGTTGTTGGAAGGTTTCGGTGTCGGCATTATTTCCTATGTGGTAATCTCAAGTGTTTAGCTCCTGTAATTGTTCTTGTTGAAGCTATGAATAGTACTGCTTGCTGGAATCTTCTTGCTTGTTATCTCCAGGTGCCTGTATATATAGCAGAGATTTCACCTAAAAACATGAGGGGAGTTCTTGGATCCATTAACCAGGTTGGTTTTGTTTTGGCTTTACACTTATACCTGGTCATTCTGTCATTAAGTTTTATGGTTTTTTATCATGGCTAATCATTTGATCTCTTGGAATTAGCTCTCTGTAACAGTGGGGATAATGCTGGTATATCTGTTGGGATTATTTGTAAGCTGGAGAGTTCTTGCAGTTTTAGGTGAGCAATATGTTTCCTTAACCATTTGGTTGTTGACGAATTGATTGTTGTCTTATTTAATTTTTCTGTTCTTGCGGTGGTAGAATTAGTTGGAAATAGTTTATCAAGTTAGCATTTGATGACATTCATCTTGCTGAAATAAGTTTTCCTTCTTTCTAAAATCACTCATTTGAGAACTATATGAAGTTGTTCTTCATCTGCAAGTTCATTGAAGCAACTTAAAAATATTGAATGAGCTGATGCTTTTCTGTGTATCGAATAGAATCTCCATTCTTCTGTTTGGACTGTTGAACTTAATGTGAAGTCACTCGTATCCTTGATTCGAACATATTTATTAACCTTTACATTAGTTAACTTTTTTCAACTTATAATTCCACTATGCAGGAATGTTGCCATGCATGATTTTGATACCTGGTCTATTTTTTATACCTGAATCTCCTCGTTGGTTGGTATGAGTTCCAAACTTATGTTTGTCATGACTACATTTTCATTGTTATGTTGTACTGATTGCAACACCGTATTATGTAGGCTAAAAACGGGCTGAATGAAGATTTTGAGACTTCTTTGCAAGTTCTACGAGGATTTGACACAGATATATCCTCAGAAGTGAATGAGATCAAGGTAACATATTGAACATGTTTAATGCTGGTTTCTCAACTATTTTGAACCCTCAAATTGCACTGTAGAAGCTTCTTGCGAAGTAAACTACTACGATGTGTTTATGCTCATTTGTTTCTCCTGTCATTTGTCTAGAAATCTGTGAGATCATCAACTAAAAAAGTTACCATTCGGTTTTCTGAGCTTAAGAGACGGCGATATTACTATCCTTTGCTGGTACACATTTCTGCTGAATTCGAAGTCTCTAAATATGCTGATTTATATGTGGCATCCTTGAATAGCTAAAGATTTGAAATCCCTTACTCTTGTCAAGGCTCACTTTATGGGGTGATTTTATTCAGGTAGGTATTGGACTACTCGCACTCCAGCAACTCAGTGGCGTTAATGGTGTTCTATTCTATTCCAGTAACATTTTCAAATCTGCTGGTCAGTTCAGTTCCTTCATTATCTGTAGAAATGCATACCAGGATCATCAAATGATTAGATACTAGCAAATACAAGCTTTATTGTGCCATTCTCTTTGTTCTTTACTCTGTTGGTAGAAACCGAAAGAAAAGTAATAATCTGGATATCAGAAATGGGAAAAGGAGTTCCATGTTTTGCAAAAAAAGACCAATGAATCACTTCCTCTGCGTCCTAGATAACACTTGCAATAGAATGGGATGAGGAGGACTCCATTTTGAGGGAGAGGGGATGAAACATAAATATATGTGTATCTTTCTTGTAGTTTTTGTTCCCTCTTGTTTAATAGCCATGTTTCAGCTCTCTGGAAGAAATAAGGAAACTACACAGCTACTGAGAACTGTAATTGGAGCCCATAACCAACTTTACAAATGTGATGCTAAATGAAGCCGAAGAGAATTTGCAGCACCAGAATCTATCCCAAAAGACAAATTTTGAACTATTAACTTATTAATAATAAAAAATTCAAAGCTATTAACTGCAAAGAAATCCTTAATCAACTCATAAGAATCAAGCCACCTTTTTAAGGTACTCTAGAAAACAAGCAATAAGATGACTAATATGATAAACAGCTTTAATACTTATGTCCTTTTTTAATACTTTGTGAAAATGGAGTTTTAATACTTATGTCCTTTTTTAAATTCCATCCAATACCATTTATTTCTTTATCAGGAACCTTAAAAGCAAGACACCTCTTTCTTTTTACTTAAATGTATGCCTGGCAAATCTGGTTGATGGAAACTGATATTTGAACTCTCTTAGTTAATGAGTAACTACTCAAATATGCCATGCCTTGTGCACTTTTCATTTCACTTTATTGGTTCCTGAGAAATGCTTCCTATGTGATACATCCCACAATGCGTATTTCGCAAAAAACTTTTTACCAAATACCAGGTAGATTATATACATAACCCAACCACATTGTAACATGATGTCCATCTAGAACATAATTGTTCATTACACTGTCCAAAAGAGATGATGAATTGGAGAATTAAGGCCCCATTCCAGGATCGATTTTTGTAGTAGAATCAACTAGAACAGACCAGTTACTACGACCTGTGATCTTAATCTTCACGGTGTGCAGTTGTCCACTCTTAGAAAGTATCACGAGCCTTTTCTTTCATTTGCCAAATTAATTCCAGGTGTATGAGAATTAGATTGTATGCATAGTATCACCTAATCATAGAGAGGTTATGGAATTTTACAACTGGTTCAACATATGATTTTAATTGTAATGCTCTTCAAATGTGCAGGAATTTCATCAAATAAAGCTGCAACATTTGGTATCGGGGCTATTCAGGTAAGTCCCCTTCCTTGGATCTAATGTTAGCTTATATGCATATATTATTCCAATTTAATATACATCTTTTATAGGTCATTGTGACTGGCATCTCTGCATCACTGGTGGACAAGGCGGGACGCAGGCTACTCCTTATTGTGAGTCTTCCAGAATTTCACATAGAAGTTTCTATTTGCTGAAAAAGAAAGCAAATGATAACTTTTCTATGCTTTTTCTTCAGGTATCCTCATCCGTAATGACCCTTAGCAGCTTCCTTGTGGCGATGGCATTCTACCTGAAGGTCAGTTAGTTAGATTTACATTTGTAAGAATTGATCAACCAATTATCTGAATTTAATGAGATTTCTTTATTGGTGTTGGGATTGACTCTCTTTATTGTCACTCCACTATTCTTTTCTACTTAACCCAGGGTTTTACGCCTGAAAATTGGCATCCCTTCCTTGCAGTATTGTCTCTGGTGGGCCTTGTGGTAAGTTCCTGCCTCACCTTCTATTGTGCCCACACTACTATTCCCTGCTCTCATCTGTTATTTGTCGTTACATTCTGTCAGTCCTGAGGCCATTTACCTATTAACAGGTCTTGGTGATGGCATTCGGTGTAGGATTGGGCTCCATCCCTTGGATCATAATGTCTGAGGTATAGTAAAGCTAATTTGTAGTTCATGAGACCAGAAAAGATATATTTTTCTAAATACGGTTAAAGATAGAGCTTAAATTAAAAATGCCTATTCTACTCTGTAACATTCTCAGGAGACTGTAGTTGACAAATTTTAAGCAAAGCTAACAATAAAGATCTCCCCTGTTAAAGGTGATGATGTTAGTGTTATAGGAAGATCAGGCATCATTGACACGCTTTATGTGCCATTCTTACAAGCTTTTGGTTCAGATTTTCTTCCTGAATATATTCTTATTGAATTTGAGATATTCTTCAAGGATGCTAGCATAGGTTTTAGGATAGGAAGTGTATTCTGCTTACCTTCTTTTGAGACGTCGAGGTTTTTTATTGGTTGTGCAGATTCTGCCAGTGAGCATCAAAAGTCTGGGTGGCAGTGTCGCAACGCTGGCCAATTGGTTTTCAGCATGGCTTGTTACAATGACAGCAAATTTGCTTTTGACTTGGAGTAAAGGAGGTTCTCTCTCTCTCTCTCTCTCTCTCTCTCTCTCTCTCTCTCTCTCTCTCTCTCTGCACAATGCTAGGAGTGAATCTAAAGACGTGTGTATTTGGCAGGAACATTCACTATTTATGCACTGATATCAGCTTTTACGGTGATTTTCGTGAGGCTTTGGGTTCCAGAAACCAAAGGGAAAACACTGGAAGAAATTCAGCAGTCCTTCAGATGATGCCAAATAAATTTGCAGTAAGACGATTAAATGGAACAAGTGATGCAATTCTAGCTTCACTGAGAACTTGTTTTCTTCCACATTTACCATGTACCATTATATATTTTCACGTCCAAGAAGGGTTTCTCGTGTCAAGTGACTGCTAATGCATGAGGAGCAAAAATATGCAATTTGCAATATGTATTTGTATATATGTATATACGTTTATATTATCCTGCATTAAAGCATCAATTTTGATTCTGAACCCCGAATTATATAACTAATATTACAGAGGAAATACGAAGTTCTTTTCCTTCTGATAAGAAGACAAAAATTACATGGTATTAGATAGTGAAATTTGTGGTAATGTCCTTCAGTATTGGGATTTTTCTGCATGCAGGGAAGTAAGAAACTGCTTGAGACACCTGTTGTAGACGCAAGGTCGCTCTAGGTGAACCAGATGCCCTGCCTTCTCTATGCCATGAAATGTAGTCTTGTCACCTAGTTGACTGCCATCATGTAATGCAAAAATATAATCAGGTTTTGTCAACTTCTCTGTGGCATTTCTACTAAATTATTGATGAAACAGTTAATTGTAAATCCCGGGACCATATATCGAATGGTGCATCGCGAAACTACTTAATAACTTCTTTGTAAATATGTTAGAGTTTGTATGTAAGAGCATGTCAAGCCTGTAAACTTACTCTTTCATGTTCTGAGCAAGCTCCAAATTGAATATTTGATCATTCTCACCCCAGAGGAGATGTATTCTCTATAATAAAAAAAAAATGGCACATTAATAGATGGAAAGAAAGATAAGTAACTCACATAGAAGTTCTCCGTGTAAAATATTGCAGACTATAACTCATGAAATGCAAATTACCTGTGGAAAATTTGGAATATTGGTATCTTTGTTGCTCACTACCAAGCCTTCTAGCAGTTCTCCTCTTTCTTTTCTGTTGGTGAACATTACCTGACACCAGTAGCATTATTATTAAGTGGGGTTAGATCCTTTGCTCGGGTTGAACTTCATTATGAAAACTATGTTGCGTCATAGTATTGTATAAAACAACATTCCTTTTCTACTAGAGATTATTAATCCTAATTTCACCAAATTATGAATTTACTACTTCGGTATTCTCGAAATAAACTTGAGACATCCAAGATTTGGTTTAAGAAACTTCGAATTTGACTTGCTCTAGCTGGTCTAAAATCTGAATCTAAGTGATTTTATGCAAATTTACTCTTCTAAAATGGGTTTTCAGTCATTTGGCTTATTCAAGTCGTTGGCATATGTGAAAAAGTTGGTTGAGCGAACTGGCGCTGATGTCAAGAATGAAACATATGGGTGGATGCCGTGTTAGAATTAATGTACAATGCGAAACCGTGGTGCCTCCTTTTAAATAAGTGGGGACCGGAAAATGTGGACAAATCTGCACTGAGATATATAATCAACGTTCATATCTTCTAGTTATGAAAAAGTTGGAGACTTATTGCTGCACATATCAAAACTAATAGATGTATAACACGTATGTCAATCTCTTGATATAAAAACACGTACTGGTGTGAGATTTTCTGTATTTATAATAAGGGATTTGATTTGGACTCTAAACAATTGGGCCCACTGATCTTTGATACTAAGGGTTAGCTGATTACCCCAAAAAATAATTGGAAATTTTACATCATATAGCAAAGGTATACACGCTATTTATTATAAACCAAAATTATTTTAAAATATTAAGTACTTTTTATAGTTACCTTTTATATTTTATAGAAAAATAAATATTTATGGTATATACTACCATCGAGGCATGAAATACGCTATTTATATTTTTCCTCTCTCTTACAAAGCCAGACATTTATTTTTAAGGTGATTGCCATTACTGTATTCATGAATACATGGCGCAAATACATGTGAATACATGCGTGTACAGCTGGACTTCCCTGACTTTAGGCGCTTTTTACTGCTGTATTCATGAATACAGTAGCGAAAATCCATGTGAATACATGCGCGTACAATTGGACTGCCCTGATTTTAGGCATTTTTTGCTGCTGTATTCATGAATACATGGCGCGAATATATGTGAATACATGCGCGTACAGCCGGACTACCCTGATTTTTAGGCGCTTTTTGCTGCGTGAATACAACAGTGAGAATACAGCGAATACACTACCGTAACAACTGAATAGTAGCTATAGGAAGTAATTATGTATATCGTAGCTATAGGAAATTAATAGCCACTAAACAATAGTAATTTCTGAAAATTCCTCTAAATAATTTAGTCAATTATTCATGAATCGAAGATTTTTTTAATTAATGATTCCATGGGCTTACAATCTTCTCTATTATCTTCTTTGTCTTTCTTTTTCTATTTTTCTTTTCTTCCCCTTTTCAACTTCTGTTGGCAAAGAAAAGGAAAACGTGTTCCATAAAGAACATTTTGTTTAAACTAATTAGCCGATTCAGGTGAAGAATATAAAAGCCACGATAATTTATACAATCGAAAGTGGACTTGTTAAATTAACAAACACAACTTAGTAAAAGTTTACCAATGTTCCACACGGCTAATATAATGAGCATATCTAAAGTGAAAAAATGTGATTTTTCAAGGTAAATTACACATGTTGTAGTATAACCCAAACGATTTACAAACTAATACTGTATACAATGAGTTTTCACCCACTGAATTAGAAGTATACGAATTTAAGTTAAGAAAAAAATTAAAGAAATAGGGACATAATCAATAGCTTGTAGATAGGAGTAGTTAAGATTAAATATTACTAACCTCAAGAAAGTCCCTGTGAAGGCGATCAGGGAACCAAAGTTTCTTATAAGCAGCTACTTTAAGAAGTGCCTTAAGACCCTTAACAGAAGTAGGCAGCAGCAGCTCAGAAGAAGAAGAGAATCCCAAACCATTTAGCGTCGAAGTGCTAATAGAATCAGTCATGGCCAAAATAGAACCAGAGATCACTAAGGCCTCAACTAAATCAGGGTACATTTCAGCCATCTTAAACGCCACCATTCCACCATAACTAAACCCAACCACTATACACTTTTCCACACCCAATTTCCTTAGCCCTTTACCCAAACACTCAGCTTGAAAACCAGGTGATCTATCTTCACTATCAGTTACTGAGCCACCGAAGAAAAGTAGGTCCGGTACGTAAACAGAGTATTTCTTAGTCAATGCGCCAACTTGGAATTGCCACGTGACAATTCCTTCACCAGCGAAGCCGTGGACTAGTACGACTACGGGTTTGGTGGGGTCAGGTTTTGTGGTGGTTTCAGGGGAGGTGGCACATTGGTTATTGGAGAAAGGAGTAGTTGTGGTGATTTTCTTGTTTTTCTTTGGGTTTTTTATGGTTTCAGAAGGAACCCAAAGGTTCATAATAGTGCCTGGTTCTATCTCTATACTACGAGGTTTGATTCCAGCCATTTTCATTAAACCATGCAACAAAGGTTTCTGTGCTTCTACCAAGTTCACCATTTTTCTCAGCTCTTTTTTTGTTGCTGTTTATGTGTATGGAGGATGGAGAAAGGTGAAGTAAAAGAGATATGAGAGATGGGATTTTTAAACAAGAAAAGGGAACTAGGGAAGTGAGGTTAGGTGTTGGGTTGCTATCTGTTTTTCGTCATTGAATCTGGGAGCTTATATTGTACTCCGTTCCAATTTATGTGAAAAAATAAGACTTTTAGAATTTGTGGTCTTAAACAAAGCAAAAAGAGCTCCAGAGTATTTGTGTGGTTATAAAAGCTTCTCATTAAGGGTAGAATTGTAAGTTTAACCTGAATTGTTACCAAATTTAGAAAGAGGTTATTCTTTTTGGAACAAATCAAAAGGGAAATAGGTTCACGAGGGAGTACAATATACCAATGTGATGAAAGGGGCAGTTGGTACTGTTGTATCTACTTCTGGATATTACTGCTATATTATTCTAATCTTAGAGTATCTCTGTTAGTTCATCCAAAATTTCATTATTTTCACTATTGAATTGTTTGAAGTAGTCGTATACGTATATCACGATCTCCCTTCTTAATTTGGAGCAAATTTTTTGTCCTACTCATACGTATCACTTATCAGCTAGTTATATTTAAAGTTATTCTCTACTAATGAAAGAACTTCCTATGTTATACTATTCAATTCTTGACGACGAATTGATTTGATAGTTCAGATATTGTTATTCATGATATTGATCTGATTCAAGATCATCGAGAGGTAATATTCATTCATTGAATTTACAGGCCAAAGATTTTTCATTTCTATGGGATTAAATCCCGAGTTATTACGAAGTAAAAAACCGATGAGATTATGAGAGTAAATATTCTTGCATTTATTGCTACTGCACTATTTATTCTAGTTCCTACCGCTTTTCTACTTATCATTTACGTAAAAACAGTCAGTCAAAACGATTAATTATTAACTAATTTGAATGAAACTTGACTTCTGAGTTCTTAGCCAAAATTGACGAAATAAAATGAAAAAGATTCTAATTTCATGTCTTAAATGAAATGAGTGGACTAGAATCGACAGTATTCTAATAGATAGATAGTATGGTAGAAAGAAATAGATTTGCACGGTTGGCTCCTACTATATAAGGCTTCGAAATAAACAATAAGTTCTGCATGTTGTCTTTTTAATTAAGTGTCAATTATATAAATATACTAATTTGAAAATAAAATACGGTTTCAACCAAGTTTAGTTTTATCAGGGGTGTATAATTGTTTGATGAATTTCGTCGAATATGTTATTTACCACTTTAATTAATATTTACAAGACTAGTATATGAGAAGATCAGAGTTAAGGGTTTTGTTCCCCCGCATCTCCACCAAAAAAAAAAAATATTTCAACAACACACAACAATGCTCTCTAAATTATTTTCAAACACATACACTGTATCATCATGAATCAATCTTCAACATCATCACCACCTTCACTAACCACCTCATCCGCCATCTCCGATGGCAACATGAATCTTGACACAAATGAATCCCCATCACATATCCTTCTCAGTTTGTCAACAAACTATACCTAAACACACTTCTCTCTCAAAACATTCCATCTTCACAGCCTATCCAAACTTCATCCTTAAACACTCGATTAGCTATTACAGATGAAACGGAGGCACATACTGATCCCTCCATTTTTATTCCATTATCCCTAGAAGAAAAAAACAGGATTTACGCTCCATGGCAACATGCGGTAATTATCAAGGTGTATGGACGTAAAATTGGCCATCAAATACTAAGGCAAAAATATATGCCTTATGGAAACCAATGAAAAATCTACCACTTATAGACTTAGGTTCAGATTTCTTCCTCATCAAATTTCAAAAGGAGGAAAATAAGATTCATGCTTTGCAGGATGGACCTTGGTTTATTTTAAATCATTTTCTCTCCGTTCGTCAATGGGAACCAAAATTTATGGCTTCAGAAACGAAAATCACCTACTCAGCCATCTGGTTGCGTCTCCCTGAATTACCTACCGTATTTTATGATTTTCAGATTCTTCAGAAACTGGGAAATAAAATTGGTAAATTACTCGTTGTTGATACTTGCACTTCTTCAACCACAAGAGGAAGATATACAAAGCTATGTGTTGAAGTCCCTTTGGATCATCCATTAAGAACACACATTTATATCAGAAATGACAAGCAAAATATCCTTTATGAAGGATTAAATTTGCTATGCATTAAGTGTGGTCGAATGGGCCATAATCAAAGAGCTTGCACTTATCAAATCCAGGATAACAATCCCACTGGTTTATCTCCAATGAACCAGTCTACTAATACAAACCCTAATTCTTCTACATTCCCATTTCCATTTACTGAAGAATGGAAAACTTTTCAATTTCCCAGTGTCACGACCCTAAATCAAACCCGGTCGTGATGGCGCCTCTCGTGAAGACAAGGCCAGCCGACACACTTGTAGTTCACTTTAAACAATTAATAATAATAAACTCTAAGTCTTTTATCAGAATAAAATCCCCAAAATAAGCATTTAACAGTATAATTTGCGGAAATAAAAAAAACCAACACAGCCCGACATCGGGGTGTCACCAGTCATGAACATCTAAAATAATACTACAAGTCTGAAGTCTACTCCACTACTACATAACTGAATCAAAAAGAACTAAGATAGAGGGAGAATGCACTGGGCTGCGAATCGCCAAGCAGCTACCTAGTAATCTCCGAAGACCTACTGGAACTATCAACCCTTAGGAGCAGGACCTGTAGCGCCCGAAACTGCACACAGGGGTGCAGGGAGTAAAGTGAGTACTCCAACTCATTGAGTAATAAAAATAAATGAAGACTGAGCGACATAAAATCACGTAAGGCACAACATTAAGCTAAAAGAGGCACAACAAAATCAATAAATATAAATAAACAGCGAAATCTCATAAACACCTTTTAAGCAGTCAAACAATATATAGGAAAAACAACTAGAAAAGATAAACACATAAGAACTGCCCCTCGGGCTCAGTAACAACAATAGAATCAGCCCCTCGGGCAATGTCACAGAACAATACCAGCCCCTCGGGCTATATCTCATATCACAATGGGTGCCCGCACTCACTGGGGGTGTACAGACTCCGGAAGGGGCCCCTTACGGCCCAAGCGCAAAATCACAAGCCACCTCGTGGCGTACAATCTCAGGCCCTCGGCCTCATTATCACAATCAGCGTATCATTGTTGCGGTGTGCAGACCGACCCAAAAGTATCGTCACAATACAGGCCCTCGGCCTTACTCAGTCAGAATCTCATAAGCCCCTCGGGCATCAGTAAAACATTAAGCTCAGCTCGAAAATCTATAAAAATATCATTTAATGTGTTTAAAATAGAATAACATAGCTGAGTTTTGAAAATAGTAAAAATATAGCATGACTGAGCACAAGTTAGAAATCAAACAGTGAGAAAAATATCATTTAAAATCCCCTAAGGGTTCAAACAGTTGGCACGAAGCCCACATATGGCGTTTAGCCCAAAATATAATAATATCAAACAATTAACTGTCAAATACGCAGTAAAATAGTCATTCGGAATGGACTAAGTCACAATCCCCAATGGTGCACGACCCCACGCTCGTCATCTAGCGTGTGTCTCACCTCAACATAGCCGAACGCTGTGAATTGCCGGGGTTTCATACCCTCAGGATAGCATTTAAAATCATTACTCACCTCAATCCGGCCGGAAATCTAGCTTGCAATGCCTTTGCCCTTCGAATCGATCTCCGGATGCTCCGAATCTACCAAAATCAGAACGTAAACATTAATTTATGCTAAAGGGACGAAGCCCACTCGAAAAAAATCGAAAAATATCACAAAATCCGAAATTACCAATACCCGACCCCAGGCCCACGTCTCGGAATTCGATAAAATTAACATCATTAGATTCCTTATCTCACCACGAGTTCATACATATAAAAAGTTCTAAAATCCGACCACAAATGGTCTTCCAAAACCTCAATCAAAGGCCTAGGTTTCTAAGCCCTAGTTTCTCAATTTTACCTTTAATTACAGCTCTAAGCCATGCATTAACACCACAGAAACGAGTTTTTAAGTCCAAAATTCTTACCTCAATGAGTTCTCCTTGAATTCTCTCTTCAAAATCGCCCAAAGCTCCAAAACTCGTGTTAAAAAGTGAGAAAACCTTCTGAAAATCGCGAAGGAACTTACTTATATTTCCTGTCCAGACATTTCTGCATCTGCGGTCTAATTTCTGCTTCTGCGGTACCGCATTTGCGGCCAATGAACCGCTTCTGCGGTTCTTCACTTAACTCCGCATTTCCGCATCTGCGGTTCCATATCCGCACCTGCGCCAGCGCAGGTGCGATCCCTCCAATCGCATCTGCGGTTTTCTGTCTCCCTAGCTCCCTTCCGATCACATTCCTAAGTCCCAAATCATCTCCCGAAGCTATCTGAACCATCGGAACTCACATCCGATCCTTCTAACACATAAGTCAATATCAGGTTGACTTTTCCAACTTAAGCCTTCTTATAAGAGACTAAGTGTCTCCAACCTCCTCAAAACCTTTCCGAACCCAAGCCAACCAACCCGATCACATATAAAACCGATAATTAAAGCAAATAGAAGCAGAAATAGGGGAAACGGAGCGGTAACTCATGAGACGACCAGCCGGGTCGTCACATCCTCCCCCTCTTAAACAAACGTTCGTCCTCGAACGAGTCAAGAAACATACCTGAGGCCTCAAATAGGTGAGGATATCTGCTCCGCATCTCCTGCTTGGTCTCCTTAGTAGCCTCCTCCACGGGCCGACCTCTCCACTGCACTTTCACTGAAGCTATTTCTTTTGATCTCAACTTTCGCACCTGACGCTCCAAAATAGTTGTTGGCTCCACATCATAAGTCAGATCACCTTCCAACTTAGCCGTGCTGAAATCCAGAACATGAGACGAATCCCCAACATACTTCCGGAGCATAGAAACATGGAATACTGGATGCATACCTGACAGGCTGGGTGGCAAGGCAAGCTCATAAGCCACCTCCCCAACCCTCCGAAGTACCTCAAAAGGTCCAATGAACCGTGGACTCAATTTACCCTTCTTTCAAAACCTCATAACACCCTTCATGGGTGAAACCTTCAACAGAATCTTCTCACCAACCATGTAGGACAC